AAACTCATTTTCAACTACACATTTTATGGGATTCACAACTTTTATCAACTTTTTAATCACACATTTCATCATCTTTTATTAAAATCTACTAAAAATTTCATTTTTAGGGTGTGTTTGATGGATATTATTGGGAAAATAATGTATTTTAAATAGTGATATAATAGGAAATATATGGTTAAAAAGTAAGGAAAAGTTATTGATGTGATGTAAAATATTATTTTATTGAAAAATGTGTGGTTAAAAATGAGTTTTGAAAGAATGTAATTTGAAAGAATGTGTGTTAAACATGGGCTTATCTAAACCAAACGGGGGCGAAATAATATCTTTTCTAATATTCCGTCACCTTCTATTAGCTCTTATGCCAAGTCTCGCTTTAGAAAATTAATCTAACTATATTTAGAGTGCTCTTTTTATGCATTTCCAGTTTCACTTTATTAAATCCCATTCCAACACTCATTTAAGAAGTTATTTAAGTTGAAACTGTTTAAGTTGAAACTGTTTTGGAACTCTCTAGTAAATCTCACGAGTAGATGGACGTCAAGAAGCAATTTCCTTGTGCTAATACCTTTTGTGTGTGTGTGTGTGTGTGTGTGTGTGTGTGTGTGTGTGTGTGATAATACCCATTAAAACTCTTCTCTTAAGGCAAATTCCTACAAGAAGAATTCGGGATTGGGTGCTCCATTTACCATCTAAGTAATATGAAGGCTAACATTTCTAAGATAGATTTGACTTCTAATATTTAATTTCTATTCAATTTTCATATAGAAGTGAGTCCATCTTTATGTGACCGTAAATCATGGCATTGTAATCATCTAAGTACAGATCACCTCGAAACTTGCATTTGTAGGTGTGAAGACCTTCCTTTGTCCTTGTAATGCATTTTCTAAAATCTCATCAGTTGCAACTGGAAAGCAAATGTGTAAGTATTCCTATATATTTTCTTTTGGTTAGTTTTTCTTAATGCATTTCTTTGCTAGCTGTAATTTTAAAGAGAAAAGTAATACACAATGTTCACTTAATTCCACAGCTTCGGCAGAAGCTTGTAATGAAATAATGGCCTATTCCCTGATACTGGCATGTTGTTGCTATACTTGCTGTGTCAGAAGAAAGCTCCGCAGGATATTTAACATCAAGGTATTTTACTCTTACGCTTCTTACCCGGGTTTCTTGCTAACACTCAAGTAATGGCAAATTACATGCTTAGCTGACGAAAAACTCAGGAACAGTATTATTACTATCTATAGTGACATGCTTGTCTGTTGGACTTGTACTAAAGTATGTTTGGTAGGGAAAAAAGCTAAAACTGTGTTTGTTAATCATTATGCATTCCAATCCTGTCTAGAGTAGTATACCAATCATTCACTTAATGGATCATGAGGTGCATCCAGATTGATTTTGGTTCATGAGTTATGGACTTACGGAAGTAGGGACCAATATATATGTTTTTATTTCTCATGAAAAAGATAAAGAAGCAACTGCTTAAAACTATCTTGATCTATATAACCCTGGAACTGACTTGGCACCTGATGTTACTTCCTCAACCCATATCCTGAAGTGGAAACGCCAGCTTAACTTTCTCACAATTTGCAGAATAGCACTTTGATAAGTGGTTTCATAACATTCAAAATCTTGAAATATAGTTGGTGATGTTCAGCTAGCTATGTGATTCCTATATTAATTTATTGGCAAGATTTGGACATCAACAAATTTAGTCTGTCTGTCACACTTATCGTAGTCACGCTGTTTCTTAGTTATCAAAGTCCATGCTTACCCACATTACTTTTAGTACATATATTTTGGTGTACTAAAAATTATGCATTTCTTCTGTTTCTCCATGAGCCTACTTCTATTTTTCTTTCTTTCTTTTGGACGGGAGTGGGGTTGGAATGGGATGGGATGGGAGTACATAAGATCACATATCGTTTCTTCTGAAGTTCGAGATGTCAATTGGAAAAACATTAGGAGGACAACTTGTTTGGACCAGTGCTTTTGTGGTTTTGAATTAATTTTTAACAATTCTTCATGAATCTTAAATTAGATTTTCGAATCCCACCACATGCTCATTGCATTTTCATTGTTAAGCTTTTCAAACTGCTTTGCATTAATTCGAGAAAACAAATTACATTTCAAACTGCTGCATTCTTTCTTATTTTCCAGGGTGGCCTATTCGACGATTTCTTGTCACATTTCATGTGTTGCTGCTGTGCACTAGTTCAAGAATTGCGTGAGGTAGAGATTCGTGGAGCCTACGGTATGATTTACATTCCAACAAATTCAACATTATAAGCAAAAAGGAGAATCAGACTATTTGTCCACAACTTATACGAAGTTGTGTTTTGCTTCCAACGGTGAAAAGGGTTCAAATCTTTATAAATCATTACGTGGTCCTTGTATATCCAACTATACGAAGTTGGGTTTTGCTTCCTAACTTGGACTGATGCCCATAAATTGGAGGTGAGGGGTGTGTAAATTGCGCTATGTTACAATTTCATGAAAATTTGGACGATTTTTGACATTGAAAACTGATTGTACTACTATAATGAAAAGTAAAGTTGAGAACCAACTTGCTACTTGGATAATAGTTGGTCTCCATGGTGCATTTTTCCCTTAGCAAAACACTGTCCAAGAATGAAACGTCCTTTTCCCGTGCACAGTGATTTTGTTATGCAAATGATAATTCATATCTAAATTTTTCTCTACAGGACCACAGAACACGAGAACCTGTGCTCCACCTTGTCAACACATGGAGTCGTAATCAGATTCTGAACCTGATGCTCACTGTTTATATACTAGTTCATTAGTAGTTAGTACTGATTGCCAGCCTTATTGTATAGACTAAACTTGACCTCTCTAGATTACACTGGTGGTCAGAAAATGTACAGAAATTACTTGGGCTCTTTTATGTTACATGATTTGCATTCAGTTTGACTGTTTGAGTATTCTTATTTTCTACAGAAAAAAAACTTGTCCTTGGAAAATTTACAAGGATAAACTTACACTTCATTCCACTGTGCAATAGAATATGCCATTCACACTGACCTTCGGCGCCTTCCAATGAAACTGTGCATTTGCACAAAAATTGTCAGCATGTGTATAGCACGTGCAACATTTGTTGTGGAGAGTTGTAATTAAAACTTAAAAGGAATTAAATTGAGAAGTCTATTTTACTTAATCTTGACCTTTTATTCTGGTTTTGCATAGGAGGAGATTAGTTGGTCTTTTTTGAACTTCTGTTTTGGCTGATTATATGGGTGATTTTAGCATCATGGCTAAGTTAAACAGCTATAAAAGAATAAACAAGTGTTCTTAATATTATTCTTAAGGTCCTTTGTCACTTGCCATTGTTGAAGGATCTTATTGCTTGTATTGCAATATTGCTAGGTTTTAATAAATTGTGGTTAAAAATGGTTTATTTGTTTCCCATTTAATGAGCTAAAACAATTTAATGATTGAAATGAGACTGATTAATACTGTGTGAAAACTACTTGGGGTTTTCTTAACAAACGGGTCCAGGTTATATAATTTGGTCTTTGATGGCTCGGTCGGCTAAGTTCACCGATCTGGCAAAATTTGCGAGTTGATAAAACTCGATGGGCGAATTTTCTCTCCAAAAAAATAAAAAATTGACTCATTTCAAAAATCAAATTAATGAATTCCATTTAAGATACGAGTGACGCTATTTATCTGCAGTTTTACCTTGTCGAAACTCCAACAAGCACGAAATACTGATGTGCATAATCTGTGCATGTGCATTGAGTAAATGCATATAGCACGTGCATAATTTATCTAGTAACTTCAAAAGAAAATGAACTTAAAAATTCAAGATGACAATTCTCCTTTGGCGGATTTGGTGCGACAGAGTGGGAATTCTTGTAAATTATCTATACACTTTTGGTATAACATTTGGTTTCAGAATGTCCCAAGTCACCAGATGTTATGATTTGATATCCAAATTCTCCCCTGAGCTCTTGGAAAGATGCAAACATTACAGTCTGTAATTATACTAAAGGCTACAAGCTCTGTAGTCTTTAGTATAATCAAGTGATGCAGTGTGGATAATTCGTCTTCTGTTTCCTTTGTCTTCACGTTCGTCTCTTCGATCGATTCACTTTTTTCTTTTCAATGACAATAGAAGGAAAAGTACTCTAAAACCAGTGATATTGATGATTTGGAACTTATAGCAATGGATTAGAATATGTTAATACACCGAACATCCAAAAATCATTCAAAAAAGCCAGAAGCCAAGAAAATTCTATGTGAAAAATCACAACAAAAAATGAACTCGAATTTTCCCATAAAAGTCCGAATTTCAGATTTATTTAATAGAAACTTGATCTCTGTACAATTAAGCTTCCGGCTAGACAATGAACAGAGAATAGTTAGGCTCTTCTTTATTGCACAATGGGCATGTAAATTCGTCTCCGGCGAAATTTAACATCTGGACATATTTACTTCAAAAGACTTAAACTCAGCCATACAAATCGCCAGATATCCTAGATAAAATAAATGATTTCATTGCCCTCTCAAATAAGAAGGTGCATAAAATTTTTATGTGTACGGAAATTGTGAGCACGTGTGACATTTGTTGTCTAAGCCCCTGTTTGTATCCTTTAAAATTTTAAATAGTTTTCTAAAGTAACATTCTCCACCACACATTCACACAATCAAATATTCTACGTACAAACCAGTGAAGTTTCCTTACTTTTCAATCTATTATTCTATAATACATTACAAGAAATTAATGGCTCTCAAACAGGGCCTAATTTATGAGCCCTTGCTTGAGTCCCGTTCTGAAGAAAAAATGTATTTTGGAATATTAATTTTTTTTTGGAGAATGTGTGGTTAAAAAATAAGAAAGAGTTATCGATGTACGTGTAATATTATTTTATTGAAAAATGTATGGTTGAAAATTAGTTTTGGAAAAAAATGAATTTTTGTAAGAATAGGGCTCAAACAAAGGCTAAAAAAAGTTTTAATTGTGTAGTCTATTTTGCTTATAGTCTTATAGAAATAATCAGATTAATTCATAATTTCACGTGTCATGTAATCTTATTTGTACCTAATTTGTGTTTGGAGAATACACAAATTTAATGGGTGTAAATGAGTAACCATGAAGAAAAGCTACTAAAATTTTACCAGCATGTTTAACATGGTATTTTACTCTCAACAAGATGAATAGTCACATTGACTGCGAAAAATTTAGCCTTACATGAGCAAAAAGAAACAGGTTGTGCCCTTTAATTCGCAAATGGATGATTTGAAGCTTTCAAATTTACTCACATTTAGCTCGAACAAAATAAAATTTCTGATTGCTCAGATTTGAAGGGATTCCATTCCGAGACATATAGGGAATTGCAGCCTAAAGAACTTGATCAAGAGATTAGAGGTCTCCTGAGGCTCAATAGGCTATAAATTCCTTCCATTTGACAATGATAGTTCTTAGAATTTTATTTGATTATGAGTTTTACATGCACCCTCAGCTCTTATTTTCGATTTCATATATATGCTATGCTTATAATTTTGAGAGTGGTCGTATCTCCTTATTTAAGTTGCTCATTGTAAACTCTGATGCAAGGCTCCATGTACTTCAATTTCACATTAATTGGCATGGTAGTGGTACTTCCGAACACCCCCACCCCCTAGGTTTAGGTGGAGGCCTAAAAATCCAGCATAATCTTAAATGATGTTTTAATTGGAAATGTTGGGTTTTGATACCCAATAAATCTCGAGTTATGATATAAAACGTTGGAATATAATTCAGAGGCCTCGACCAATGGTAAATTGATTACCAACAACCAAGTCCAAATACTCGACCCGAAAACATGGACAGTTGGAAGTAGTAGAGATGGCAAAAAAAATCGCCCCGCCCAGAATGGGGCGAAAAATCGCCCCGAACGAGTTGGCGGAGCGGGGCGGGGCGGGGTGGGGAGGGGCGCCCCTTCTCGGGTCTCTGGGTGGGGCGGGGTGGAGATGCCCTCCCCGAACCCGCCCGTGAACCATTAAAAAAAAGTATCCATGTATTCTCTA